ATTAAAATACTGAGAAGGAATACTTAATGATACAGAGATACATAGATTGTGATTTCTTTTTTAAATCATACTAGCACAGTCATCTGGCATACACATATCACTGTCTCTGGGTGGTGAGACCAATTTGTTTTGTTTTTGTGATTTTCTACATCATTTTTAATTTTATACAATAAAATTTATATTAAATTTTGTCCAATTACAAAAGTATTTGAAATTAATAATGCAAGAGCAGCACAAGCTTCTAAGTACCGTTTTTTAAATTATAGATTTCTTTTCAGCACTTAGAATGCTGTCATGCATTCTAACATACACTCAGAAAAATCGATTGAGAATACATAGCACCTTAAATATCCATTAATGTATAGAAAAAAGTTAAAGTTCTTTAAATATTTTTAGAATGAAATAGTAATCTGAAAGATTTACCCACAACCAAAGAAAGTTAAGGCACCAAATAAGATAAACAGCTGTTCACCTCTCTACTTGCCTTTAAGTTTTCAACCTTTTCTTCAAATGACTTGAAAGTCGGGGAGTTTCTATGGAGAGAGAAAAAAAAACAATTAGTAAAATCACAAATACTGGAAAAAAAAAACCCCCAATCATTAGTTGATTGTATTCCTCTTGGCCATTATTTTCAATCAGCCAAAGCACAGATGTATTTCTCTACCACAGGTGTGCAGGCACACACACGTATTATTATGTACAATGATCCACTCTGTTCTAAGATTTCTACAATGAGGCTTTTGACGCCACCAATGGGGGCAGTCTTAGACACAGAGACATAGATATGGTCAAGTACCTGTGTGAAGAGGAAACAAGGTAAAACACCAGTTCTGTCACTTCCCCAACGACGTGGTTGCAGTACAAGGACATGCCACCGTTGGGTCCATTTAATTTGGGTTAAGGTACTATGCTCTAGAGCCTGTTTAAATGCCCATGTTGCCTGGCACAGTTCCTACTTGAACCCACATCAGCAAGCAGGAGGGTCCATACCAGGGATCCCAGTGGCCAGAGGGCAGCAGCGTAGACTGAAAGGAAGGGAGGAGAGCAGACACGTGGCTGGGCCTCATCACGAAGCTGCGGGGACTGACAGAAGCGCTCTGAGCCCACAGTAAGCCCCTCCCCCGTTTATCCATATTAATAGGGGAGGATCCCAGCACCTCTGTCACTCACATCCGGGCTTCTGAAGCTTTTATACTACCCACCGCTTCGAAGACCCTTCCCACTGTTACCACGCTGGGAAAGGTGAGGACAGGAGCAGGGGGCTTTTAACAAGTTTCAAATACACTGAAGTTTAAGCCAAACACAGGTAGTTAGAGACCCTCTGCCTGTCTAGAGAGGCAGGCGAGGTAATAACATGTACCAAGTGCTCCCTGATGAAGGCGGACAGAAGAATTAAATCACACTCGGCTCCATATGTCACCGTGGGATGCTGGAAGCGGAAATGGGGAAGGCGGAGAAAAGTGTAGGGAAGGTAATGTGGACAGAGGTGATGGGGCAGCTACATCCATGAAAAGAGTCGTGTCCACTTTTGCAATGAAACGGACTTTAGATACAAAACTACAGGGTTACAAAAGAAAATTATAGAAATAATAGTTGTTTTTTAAATCACGTTTAATGGCTCTCTGGCACCCATCCTAACATTATAGAGCAACGGAAAACTGACACAGTGTTGTTCAACAGGCAGCTTGTCGAGAGTCGAAGCCTAGGTACACACCTCAGAAAAGAACAAGAAAGCGCAAGACCAACATTTTTTATTTTGTAAAAATATACTTTACCTCATAGCAGGCATGCTAATTGAATGTTGGATGGAGCGTATACTAAGAGGCAGCATTAAAAAGAGATAGAAATGAAGTTAGTACAGCGGTGATTAGACAGTACAAAGAGCAAGCGAAACTCTGCTTTATTATTAAATAATAAGAATAGGAGCTTATTCTTTGGGCACCAGGGAGAATTACCTACTTTTTGAGGTGGAGGGGAGTCACAGCTCTTCACATAATTGACTCCTATTCCTGCTGTCAAGGTAACCCCAGTAGTTAATGGAGCTAATGATTCAACCTTGCATTTTTATGTTAATAGCACTTTGCGAACTGCAAGGCCTCGAGCACCAAGGCTCTGAAGTTCAATGATTTACCCACGATCACAGCAGCATCAAAAACGTGGGCTTTTGGACTCCTAATTCAGTGCTCACCGCCGCCCCTCAAAAAAAAAAAAAACCACCACCAAATAAACAAAAAACGAGGCACACGAATACAAGTACACACACACACAAACCAGGTCAGGGAAGGTCTCCTCAGCCATCTTTCTCCCACATATTTGTTACCAGAACAAGAAGATTTCAAAATAAATCACCTATCGGACGACGTTAAGTGACTAACAGATCCCTCCTTAGGAACAGCAGTATCTGTGTTCTAATAACAGACACTTGTACTTCATCCCAATTAAACTAAATGTTCTTACTCGCCATTCAAATAACACTTGGCCCCTGTTTGACTAGGACCGACTTCTAACTCAAGGGCAATGCAGTTCACTGCTCAGGTTCAAGGTTACCTACTCTCAGCCATCTCCCATAGAGGCCACCTGACAAGACGAAAGACAGTACCTCAACTGGTGAGCTCACGAAGTCACTATTTTGCCAATACCGTGACTGCGCTTATACTGCTTTGATCACTGACACAGCACTTTTCATGAATCATCTTGCCTTTGGGGTAAACCGGACAGCCCAAGGTATGTACTCTCAATTCTACTTCAATATTCTGTGTGTTTATGATGTGGTTTTCTCCAAGACTCAGCTGTTGCAAATGACAACCTGCTGCAAGTGTGGCTCCCCGAATCTCGTTTGGCGTTATGATGGAATAATATGGAGGATGATCTTGATATAAATCGAAATGCGCTGGCAGTTGGTGCAGTCAAGAGAATGAGTAAACTATTTGGACATCTTTGTGCTTAATGTCGTCGATAACACCGGAAGAGAATCCCCAGAGCTCAGCATTCTCTCTGTCCTATCACAGCGGTAGCCCATCCTGGGGGGAATTTGCTAATTCCTTTTCTGTTGGATCTGTTGCAGTGTGCTGGCTCCATATTTGAAGGATAGAGATGAACAAAAATCGTCTTTCTTGGTTGACGATGCCAGAGCTCCAGCATTCCCTGCGCTTCCTTAAACCCCCCTCTAAAGAAGCTGCCCGATCGCCACATGGCCACAGCCATTGTCACCATCATCAATGTGACACCTGGACCAGTACAGCTCTACCCAGCACAGCTAAACTGGTGGTGGTCTACCCATTGTTTGGACTGAATGCAAAAAAAAAAAAAAGGGTTAAAACAATTAAGATTCTTATACCGAGATTCTGTAATTAGGACACTCAGCCACAGGTCAGTTAGTGTAGGAACTTCAGCTTAGATATTGAGGAAGATATTTTGGGGGACCAGTGGCCAGCTGCAAAAATGCAGAGGAAGCCAGTTCCCAAAGAAAGGGCTGAATATAAGCACAGAGAGGCAGAGGACAGGAGGGAGAGATGGCCATGCAGGGAGGAGAGCTGGGTGGCAGACGAACAGTGTTTCCTTGGTTTCTGGAGGCCACCTTGGTTTCTAATGGCTTTCCAATTGTCGGGAGCGAGTCTGGTCAGGGCCACAGTTTGCTTTCTATCCTCCTCTTGGACTGCAAAAGCTTCCCTTCTGTGCTACCCATTCCCCTCAAGTGAGCTATTTTGCATAATTTTTCTGTTCCTTGTAACCAAAAGACTCTTGACTGGACCATTTATTTTGGCAGAAATTACCAAATTCTGGAAAATGAAGGTGAGGAATGGCCGAACGTGTGATAAATTGCTTGTCCTCACACATTAAATTCAAGGGTATCAACAAAATGAGAAAATAGGTGGATAAAGTAAGTGTACATTTCAGAAATTCACAGCTGATTCTAGTCACTGTCCCTAAGCACTCACGTAAAAGTTCATTTCCTCCAATGGCCACTCGGTGGGTTCTATGCCCCTCGGACCAGCATACAAGCCAGTTAAGAGGGAATGGGTCAAAGGCAGCGTGGAAGGAGTAATCAGTAAAATGAATCCTAAATGCATCACATGGACTGTGAAATCAACACCCCAGGGCACACACACTGATTCAGGATTATTTTGCATAACAAGGGAGTCCTGAGGTCATCAAGGTTGAAAAACCAGAAGGCAACCTGATTCTCACTAAGGGCTTCTTAATCTTCTATGTACTCCCACTGTGGAAAAGTTACTCGTTTAAAAAGCTGAATTGATTTTTTAAAATTGTCTTTGTTTCTTCCATAGCTATTTGATCTTTCCATCCCTAACAATAATTAAAGGGGAGGAGTAGAGGGAGGGGAAGGAAGGAAGCAGTAAATAGTATACACAGAAAAGGAAGGCTTAATACTTAACATGTTCAAATGCTGACTATGTGCCAGCTATGCTTTTAAGAGCCATCTATGTACTATTATTCCATTTTGCCCTCACCGTCATCTCTTGATTGTAAATGATGAGCCAAAGTAACTGCTGGAAGTGCATCATGTTTACTGTCACTGCTCTGAGAAGGTCTACGTCACAGGTGCTACATATAGTCTTGCCTGGCACATAACTGATCACCATTTTTGTTATTACGGATGACTAACTGAAACACATATTCACATTTATTTCACATGAGGTTATATTCTTTAAAGCTTTCAAATTTCACCCAGCTTGTTATTTGGGTTGGTAACTCCAACCCTTCGTCTAGAACACTTCCTGGGACAGAGTTAGCATTCAGTAAATACTTCTGAATGAAAGAATGACTGAATAAACAATTGTGGTGACTGAAATTAGGAAATACAGGCACGAAAGGTGGAAAAGTTCATTAAGCCTTCTCAAACTCGAATCAACAGGCACTCTCTTTCTAAGAAAAGGAGAGAAAAAAAAGATCATTTCTTTTCCCATTAAGTGGTGGCAATTTTCAGCAAAACAGAATTATCCGGAATAACTTTCATGAGTCCCAAACAAATAAAAAAAAATATCTAGGGGTTTATATGAAGACACACACATGGGAAAAGGAGAAATGGCCTTAGGTAATAAAGGCAAAGTTAATTGGCACTGCCTCTTAAATATACAAAATATACTTGCCTAATGCGGCTACTGAATTATTACAGCATGCTAGTAACACGAAAATCGATGCTTAACACTGGCACCAAGTGAAATGAGAAGGCGCTTTTAAAGTTTATCTCAAAAAATTAAAGCATGAAGTCAATATAGCTCACCCTATATGTGTAGAAAATAAACCAACAGGAGAGGGGTAGATATGAACACACCACCTGGGGGGTAAGCTGGCTGTCCCCAGAGGGCCACCCAGGGCAACAGTACCAGGTCCCACATCTGGCCCCAACCTTGCTGTGGCAGATGTCTAATTCTCAGGGCATCAAAACCAGGTATCCCTCTCTCTCTGTCTCTCTGTCTGTCTATCTCTGTCTTCTTTCTCCTCCTCCTCGTCACACACACACACACAGACACACACACACACACACACACACACACACACACGAGGCTTGGGACAGATCATCTCAATACCAAGGGCTAATGTATTAATTGGCAACGTAAAATAAAAACTGTTGCCTAACCTAACAAGTCCAGTCAGCAAAATATGCACGATATCATCAGAGAGTGAAATCCCTGCCACAGTCTGCTGGGTAAGCCTGCACCCAGAACACAGGGAAATGAACAGATTAAGCGACGGACAGGGGCCTCTTGCATCTGGCTCCACAGGAGAAAAGGCCTTCCTGGGAGTAAAACACGCACATGCTACTGTTCCAGCTCCCTCTCCTTGGACACTTCTTGGGGGCACGCGGACAGTACTTGCCTCAGTGACTCACTGCTCTAAAAGAGGTGGTTTTCCTGATATGTTTTCTATTATATGTGTTTTCACATATTTTCTATTTTACGTGAACACATTAAATCAGATTACCACCAGAACTTCTTGGCCTAGAAATGATTTTTTTTAAATGGCTTGACACAACTTTTCACCGGTTCAGAATTAAGTATGAAATTTAGCTTTCAGAAGACCATTTTATTTCTCTCAATTCCAAGTTGCAATCAAAGGCCTCGTTTTAATGTCCACAAATTAGTATGCAGTATATCCTTCATTAAAAACAAGACTGAAGATGGTACAGAGTGTAACCTCAATTGCATTTTTTAAAGGAATTGGAAAAAAAGAGCTGTATCAGAAGCTAGTGAAGAGGGCGGGGCAAAACTCCACGTTTTTCTGGTGAATCAGGAAGGCAGCACACACTCTGCCATCTTGCACCATTTGCTTAATCTCTTGAAAGGTAGAGAGAAAGAACGGCGTTACCTACTGATGACACACGTCGTTCCTCAACAGCACTGACATATTTTTCTATTTTTGTTTATATCACATCTAACATTGTTTCATAACCAGGGATTAACAAGGCTCCTCCATTCCTAACTCATCTCCAGACCCCATTTCCTTCCCCCACTCCATCCACTCACACATTTTAAGGTCTCTACGAACAGGAGCCCATCTGGTTTACGGTTACAGCCTTTGGACCTACCCACCGTAGACGATCTAATGGTAGCAGAATAGATGATGTGACTGAATATGTATTCACGCAACTCAAATTAAGTTTAGGTAAAATTATCCTAGTTGCCTGGAGCACTTACACCGTTTTTAATAGAACACCAAAGATACAGAATCGCCTCCTATTACTGGTTCCTTGATTTATTTATTTTTTAAGTGCAACTTTAGCTTTAAATGGTTCCACATTTAGAGTTGATTAATCCCTATGACTTACGCTGACCTCTAGGGCTAAGTGTCCCTAGGACAGAAGGGCCTCAGCTGTTAAGTACCCATTGATTGACTTAAGAAGATAAATAGCTAGACCTCAGCCAGAGACTAAGACGACTAGCATGACTAGAACAAAGATGGCTGCTACTATATATTAGCCTTCCTGCTTACATCCTAAAGACCTTCCTCCACCTTAGTTTTCCCCGACTGCTCACTGGATAAATGGTCTCTATGGGAGAGGGAAGCGAGGTTTGCCCCCCATCACAGTCTGCAAGGCATGGCTTGGGCTGACATCCTTTTCATGTGCAACCATGAAATGTCTTTGTGCACATAATTAAAGAATATGACTAGTGTAACGAAATAATAAACAGTAAACTCTGTAAGCTAGTAAAGCAGGTACTAAAAAGTGCAGAGTAGTAGCGTATTTTATCTTATGTATATTTTAGCACAATAAAAAACAATATTCAGAGTAACCTGTATAAGACGGCAGACTACCAGGGTGAGGCAGTACCTGTGCAGTCTAATTACAATTGTGTAACGGGTCCCAGGTGAACGCCCCATCCTTACAAGAGCACTAAAGAAATGAAAGCATCAATGCTGAACAAACAAAGTCAGACATTAAAAGGGAGGAATTCTGCATGCCATGGCAGAGCTGCTGCTTTAAGAAATAAAAGTCAAAATCTTTTCCATATCCCTTGAGCCACAGCGTCAATTTCTTCTTTTAATTTATCCATTACCCATGGTATACAAGAAATCCTCCCTTTAAAAAAGAGGAATAGCATTAGTGCAAAAAATATTCCAAATGCCAGAAAATTAATGTAGTGGACAAACACAACCAGCCAACGTGGCATCATAAATCGAGGAAGCACACTTGTGTTAGACAACTGCTGAGTTGCAGTGATGGGTCACACCCGCCTTACCTAAAGGAATGTGAAAAAGCCTGCAATCTGCAAGAAGCCAGAGTAAGCATTAAAAAAGAAAGGAAGTTCTGGTAAATCCAAAACAATCAAATCACCTACTTTTTCAAAGTTGTGTAAGGTTTTAACTGGACTCTGAAGTCAGCATAAAAGGAAATGGAAACACCTGAGAGGTATATATATATATCATTGTCAAAGGGTTCAAGGAAGCTGCGTTTATTACATTATGCTTCCAATGACGATAGTCCAAATATAATGAGTAAATCATTTGGCATTTTAGGTACAAAGTATAATACACTGATTGCCAAAGTTGTTCAACCAACAAAATTCTGGTTGTAAAATCCACTTTCCCCACAAATGAAACACTCAACGTCATGCAACCTGAGGGTTTTGGTTTTAAAACAAATCTTTCATGCCAACAGAAGCACAGCAAACGTAAACCACATCTGTCATTTTCAGCGCCGTTCTAATTCACATGTGGGGAGGAGGGAGGCACACAAAAGCACTGTGAAGCAGTTTTATCAAAATGGCCAGGAAAATTCTGCAGACTCATCGAAAAATATAAATGCACAATAAAAAAGCAACAGCTCAAAAATCAAGATTTGGGCCTAAGCGTGAACGTAGACATGGCTTGCAAATTAGTGCAAATCAGTACACAACAGAGCATGTTGGAGTCACATTATGGTGTGAAAAATGTACCACACACAAAGGAAGCCAAGTCCCAGGCTGGGTGTCCTCACTGAGACGCCAGGCTCAGCTCACGACCACACACTTGCAACCACGAGAGACATACTTACCCTGAACCGTCAGAAAGGACTCAAAAGACAAAAGTCACAACCAGAATTTTCCAACAACCTTAAATGTATTCGGGAGACGACCCTTTAGAATGCTAATGCCTGAAAGTTAGAAAGCTGTGCCTACACTGAGGCAACATTTCAGGTGCTGCTTGGAAGGCATGCCCGCCCGCCCTGGAACAGCCTCGTCCAGAGCCAGCCAGGAAACAAGGACAACCGCGGCACACTGTAATTTGCCTCAGCTACTTAACTGGCAAGGAAAACGAAAGACATACTTGACGTCTTCCAGCTTTTTGGTGATGACTGATCCCACGGAGGCGAAAGCAGCTGAGGCCTTCTGTCCAGCTTGAGACAAGGTTTCGGACGTCTTTTTGTACCTGTATTAAATGATAAAAACAAGAGCACAGAAAAGTAAGCCGGCCTTTGTTTCTTCCTAGAACATCTAAAATCCTTCGCAGCCACCATTTCAGCATCACCGCATCATCTCATCCTTCACCATCACTTCAGGCACTATCTTTGTGGTGCGGTGGAACAGCGGGCGAGATAGAGGCAGGGCCGAGGAAACCAGGGGACGGAAGGGCTAAAAACAGTCATGGGGCCAAGATGAAAGTGAGCCAGAGGCTGAACGAAATTATACCTCTTAGTTTCGCCTTCTCCACTTAAGCCAAACAAAGTCAACATGAAATCAAATTCCTCGCATGCCTTTTACAAGTTTATCTCCTAAAAAGGGGCCAGAAACAAGGTCGGGGCCCATGTACATTTTATTATCCAGATGAATTGTATGAGCATAAAGGCTTTTTTTTTTTAATTTTGCATGTCTGTAGAGCTACCAAGTAAGGACTTGGGGCCTCTCAATAGAGGATGAAAAAGGTACAATACTTCACGTGACTGTGATACTTGCTGAGACACAAAAGGTATGATTTACCGCCTCCCTCTTCTTATCTCTCCAGGGATTAGCAACGGGGAAACAAACACACACAGAACAAAAGGATACGGTACCTTCTGCAAAGAAGTGAAGAGCCCCACATTCTAAAAAGGAGCGCTCAGGCATTTTTACTCTCCCTTTCAGGATCAATATTAAACACAAATACAGTTTATGGTGACTAAGTCAAAGAATTGCTTCCTGCATGTTTTCCCACTGCCCGCTTATACGGGTAGAAAGTGGACCAAAGGCTGTCATGTCAGGATGCAGTCGGCCACCAGCTCAGCAGGTGGGACTGAACACAGAAGACAGGCAACGGGGCTCAGAATGTGTTACCAGAAGCCTGCTCCTTCTTGTGCCAGAAAACAACACCGCACCATGACAATGCCATTTCCAAAGTCACGTGACCAAAAAGACCAAGAGATGACGGGGCAAGCCTCTGCCACCAGCACACATCAGCGATGGTGACCTGAGTGTCCCATGCTACGGATAGAGCAGGGTCCAAAAAAGACTGGTCAAATCCTGTCTCCCCATTTATTTTGAGGAGCTGGTGACCTCCAAACTTATCTGATCCTGTTCCCTTATCTTGGATTATCTCGCCACTCACTCTCTCAGGCTGGTCTGAGATCTAAGTGACACATGGACATATCTGGCGAGTCAATATATAACATCTTGGGAGCTTAAACTTTATGTCTTCAACTCACATGAGGCTGTTATTCTTTCTGTTCCCCAGAACTGTCTGGAGGACCAAAGTTAGAGCACAGTCAGGTACATTAGAGAATTGGGGGGAAAGTGCCCCACGTAGTACAAAGAAAGGTTAAACAAGCATCCTCATTGCCTTTCTACTCCCTTCCCCAGACAAAAGGGCAAACGCGTCCTTTACATCCTCTATAAAGACATATGATCAAGGGGACTTACGCAGGTGTTGCTGTCACATCTTGCCAGCCTTTGGCGATGTTCTGTTTTAGTTCCTGTAGTGAATTGATCCCAAGCTTCCGTTTGATCTCGGCTAGGTGCTTCTCTTTAGCTGCTAATACCTGAGACAGGGTCTGGATTTCTTCTTCTACCTGCGAGGAAGAGGTTGGGGGTAAGAATACAGCAAGGTCATTCAGATTATTAGTGCAAAGCTATACTCACCATGCTAGTCCTCTAAAAACATTTTTTTTAATTCATTTATCTGTCTCTTTAAAAACAATATATCAAGGGCCGGCCAAGTGGCTCAGTTGGTTAAGAGCTCCCTCAAGAGTTTGAGCTCTGAGCAACAGGGTCCCTGGTTTGATTCACGGCCCGAGCTGAGCTGCCGCTGGGCTGCCAACAGGTGGCAGGATGTCTCAGCTAAAAAAAAAACAACAAAAAAAACCCCAAAACAATATATCATATGGTGTTAAGTAAACTGGTCACGGGCTAATAATGTCTCCCGTAGACCTTCTCTTTTCTCGTCTGCGTATTTCCGTCTTGAGTTGTCCTCAGCCTTCTGGCCTTTCCCTGTATGGCCTTACTCAGCTATCTCGTGGTGACGCAGGGCTCGAAACCCTATACAGATAATATTCAGATTATTCTAACATCCCTCTCCTGAGCCTTGATGCTGGCTGACCAGTGTTCGCTAGGTGGGCCCCTGCCCTCCATCAAGCAGCCAACAGCCAGTGACATGCCTGGTGTGAAAAGACACGTGTGACTCATCAGACTCTTTTTCATCCCAGAATCTAGCTTGAGAAAACATTAGGAGGAGGCGCTAGAAAGACTTGGATACAGAAACACTGAGGTACAGGTAGGACACAGTGAGCTTATGAGATGCTGTGGAAAGCTGAAATGTACCTGAGGAGGCCAAAACTCTAAGCAGAAGCTCTGAAGAAAAGAAAAAGACTTACAGAGTACAAGAAAAGGGTTAAGCTGGGAAAACAGAGGGACAGGCCAAACCCACAGAGAGGCAGAGACACATGTGGAAGAGACTTTTTGTCCCAGGAAGTTGAAAAACTAGGTCCCTAAAATATATTCATTAATATTCAAGACCCTGAGAAGGGTGCTTCTCTTGGCTTGTGCAGGAGCCGTAGTCTCAGCCTTGACGCACGTGGCGCTTCTATGATTTCAGCAACTTGGCTTTAACACAACATACACTGTCAAGTAAACTGTTTTCACTGCTAATTCAATCTTTAGAGAGCAAGAAGTGAAGAAAAATAGTACTCAACAAAAGGAGAGGAGAAATCAAATGTCATGTGGCTGCCAAAAAAACGAAAGAAAAAAAAAAAAAGAATAACATAGCTCTTAGATGAGATGAACAAGAACACAGCTCCAGAACAAAGGGAATCCTCTGTGCTTGTCGGACGGGACTTCACACATACGGACTGTACCAGCTCTGGAAGCCACGTTTTAAGAAGTACACTGGCAAAGTGGAATATGGGAAGAAAAAGGCAACAATGGATGAACGAATAAATGAGCTAAAGTTAAAAAAATCAAGTAAGTTAAATGAGTTGCCCTAAGTCATCAAACTGGTAAGGTAGGGACCAGCATTTCAGCCCAGGTTTTCTGACGCCATTTGTCAGTTTACTGACACATTTCTAAATGCTCACTTTTTGCTTTCCAAAACCTCTCTCTTTACCCCAAACTCCAAATCTTCAGATACATCAAAGAATAGACTTAAATGGTATGTTTTTTACCCCTTGACTTTTTCTGCAGTATTCAATTTCCCTAATGAAAGTAGGAAAAAAAGACCACTGTAAATATTTCTGAACAATACATAATCCAGTGTATTCCCACCTTTGTTGGTTAGATTGTGCTGCTAATACACCTAGCTTAGCACACCATAGGTGCAATGCTACAATTATTTAATTCAATATATTGGGGGGTGCTAAAATAATGTACACATTTTAAGAAATGTTATCTATGCATTACTTTTTGAAGTTGAATTGAATTATGGTAGTAATGTGTAGTATGATGTTTTGCTCATTGAATTACAATTTTAATACAGTTTTTTCCTCTCTTAAAATGTGTATACTTTTTGGACACCATCTGTGTGTGTGTGTGTGTGTGTGTGTGTGTTAATATATTACATATTCTATATTTTCAATATATTGAATATATATTGTATATTGACTATATATGTATGTGTGTATATACATTTATATACCTCATATATGTGTATGTGTATATATCTTAAAACAATAAAGGAGAGCATGATTAGGAATCTCTGATATAAATAAAAAATAACAACTGGGAAAGTTACTACAAAGCTATGGTAATCAAGATTGCATAGTACTTGGCATAAGAATAGACATATAGATCAATGGAAGAGGACTGAAAGTCCAGAAATAAACCCATATATTTATGGTCACTTGGTTTGCAACAAAGGTACAAAGACAATTCAGTAGGAAGGAATAGTCTTTTCCACAAAGATGCTAGGACCATTGGATTTCCATGCACAGGAATAAACTTGGACCCTAAGTCAGGCTATACATGAAAATTAACTCAACGTGGATTGGAAATCTAAATGTAAGAGCTAAACTACAAAACTCTTGGAGGAAAACACAGAAGTAAATCTTCATAGCCCTGGATTAAGCAACGTCTTAGATATGACACCTAAAGCCAAAGAAAACAAAGAAAATCTAGGTAAATTGACTTCACCAAAATTGAAAATGCCCATGCTTCAAAGTATGCAGTAAAACAACAACTGACAGAATGGGGCAAATACTTGCAAGTTATATATCTGAGAAGGGTCTAGCATCCAGAACATATAATGAACACCTACAGCTCAGTAATAAGAAGACAACTAATCCAACTAAAGGATGGTCAAACAATTTAAACACAGTAGCCGCCTCATCCACGGTTTCTCTTTCCATGGTTTCACGCAGTCAACCACAGCCTGAAAATACTAAATGGAAAACTCCATATCAACAACTCCTAAGTTTCAAATTGCGTTCTGAGTAGCATGAGGAAATATGGCATTGTCCCGCCCTGCCCCACCCAGGGTGTGATTCACCCCTTCCTCTGTAGACACTGGCGCTTGTCAGTCACTTGGCAGCCATTTGGGTTATCAGATCAACTGCGATGTCACAGAGCTTGTGTTCAAGTCACCCTGATGTTACTTCCTCGGGGCTCCAAGGTACAGAGTAGGGATGCTGGCAATTCGGTCACACCAAAGAGGAGCTATAAAGTGCTGCCTGGACGTGAAAAGGTGAGCACAGTACGATATGATATACGAGAGAGAGCAGAGAGACCACAACCACATAACGTTTATTATAGTATACCGTTATAATTGTTCTATTCTGTTATTAGTTGTTGTTAACCTCTTACAGTGTCTAATTTTTAAATTAAACTTTATCATAGGTATGTATGTATGGAAAAATACATAGTACATATAGGGTTCGGTGCTATCCACAGTTTCAGGCATCCACTGGGAGTCTTGGAACGTATCCCCCAAGGATAAAAGGGGGACTACGGTAAATATTTCACCAATGAAGTTATACAAATAACGAATGATCATATGAAAAGATGCTCAATACCATTCATTAGTAATTAGAATAATTCCAATGAGATATCACTTCACCCTCACTAGAATGGCTATAGTCAAAAAGACAGACAAAGAGTTGGTAAGGATGTAGGGAAACTGGAGCCCTCAGACCTTGCTGGTGGGAATGTAAAATCGTGCGGCTTTGGCAGCAACAATAGTATGGCAGCTCCTCAAAAAGTTAGATGTAGAGTTACCATATGACCCACAAATGACCAAATGTCCATCACCTGATGGATGGGCAAACAAAATGTGGTAATATAGCCATACAATGGAATATTATTCAGCCCTAAAAAGGAACGAAGTACTGATATGTACTACAACATGGATGAACCTTAAAAACAGTATACTAAGTGAAAGAAGTTATGTCACGAAAGATCCCGTGTTGTTTGATTCCTTTCATATGAAATGTCCAGAATAAGCAAATCCGTAGAGACAGAAAACAGATAAATGGTTGCCAGGGCTTGGGGAGAGGAAGAATTGGGAGTGACTCTAATGGGGTCAGGGTTTATTTTTAGGGTGATGAAAATGTTTTGGAATTAGATGGTGGTGATAGTTGTACAACTTTGTGAATATACATAAACCACTGAATTATAAACTTTAAAGGATGAATTTGATGGTATGTCAATTATGTCTCAAAAAAAAGTAAAAAATCATAATGCATGTTTGGGGGGGGATTTTTTTTTCTCTTCATTTAAGTTTCTAAAACTACTTCAAGCACTGACTGTAATGTAAAACCTTTCCAAACTAAAAACTACCATTTGGTTTGCATGTAAATGATTTTATTATATCTAATTATTATTATTATAGGCTGTAATTATTATATCGTAACCATGAGGAAAAGTAGCATTCTATCTGCCATATGTCATGGCGGGTTTTTTTTTGTTTTTTTTAATTGGGTTAAACTTCAGATAAAGTGTGAATACTATAGAAATAAAAAGGTAGGTAAAAGCATAAGCATTGGAGTTCATAAAGATCTGACATGAGACTCTGCGGCAATAATCATGGGTTAGGCAACAGCTTCTCACATATGACACCAAAAGCACAAGTCACCAAAGGGAAAAACAGATAAATGTGACATCATCCAAATTAAAACGTTCTGTACTTCCAAGGGCACTATCAAGAAAGTGAAAAAGGAAGACCCACAAAACGGGAGAAAATATTTACATACCATTGGTCTGATAACGCCATTTGTTAAATAAACATTATATAATCTATTCAGAGATTTAGACCTGTGTTTCCTCCTCCAACAATCACGGTAATGATGGCAGCTGCCTCATGACTGTTGTGATGATGAACGAGGTAGTGGGTGCAAAGAGCTCAGCTTAGCGTACGCCACCAAGCAAGGAGACTGGAGATACTAGCTGCCATTACTATTTTTCAAATATTATGGTTAATGAAATAATAATACTGAGAGCTGGCAAGGTTTAAGGTAAACTGCTCTCTCATGCACTGAGCGAAATCTACGTAATAGCCTTTTGTCCATGGGAATGTCTGCGTGCCCTTAAAAACCATTACAGAGGGATTTTTCTAGAAGTTTGTCCTAAAGAACTAATTAAAGAAGTG